TGTTCTTTTGTTTAGACTTACATACACCGATTCATTTATATCTGAGTGTCTATGGACTGGACGAGTGGAGTTCGATTCCAGAGAGAGTTTTATTAGTACTGTTTCTTTACGGTTAAAAAGGACACAACGTGAAACTCAGAAATTATTTTCATTTTGTACAGATGTTTTCAGTGCTTAAGAAAGGAACACAAATTCCCCTGCTAACCCATGCTTTTTCATGGCGTAGTACATATTTAAACAGAGACCCAAGTTTACATTTACTTTGTATTTTAAAGTGTTCGAAGTTAGATCTTGAATTTCGTAATAATCATTTGGTTTTAGCTTTAATTTCTAATTCATAACAAGTATTATAAATCGGTAGAATAGATGTATAAATGTCTAGAAAATAACTGAAATTGTATAATGACATTAGTTCCCTTCTCTGTAGTTTGTCTTCTTGTAGGAGAAGTTAAAACAAATATACGTAACCAGCCAGTCAGACGGCTAACTACTAGAGCCACCCCGCGGCGCGAAGCGGAAACAAAGGAAAGCGTTCTTCTCTTGTCAAACTAAGAAACAACGTCAAACGCTAATGGACTTGGGGTATTTTCGTTAACAGATGCCAACGAAAAGATCATAGCTCATACGACACCAACACGAAAGGTTTTTTCAACAATTTGTTTTCTTTTTATTTATTTCAAATACTTTTAAAACGTTCTAGTTTGATTGTTGACATGTGTTGTCCGACAGAGAGCAGGTCAGTATAATAATCGCGCTAATGTAACCTCCCAAACTTTGCTCTTCTACGATACGGGTGGTCCTATATATGGTACATCTGATTCTAGATGTTAAGGATAAATTTTGTTAAGTCCACCCCACCCGTTCTTTGTATAATATGCCAATTTAGAAATTTTCCCTAAAAAAAATTAATACCTCCTGTGCTAGATAAATGTGTCTCACTTTACATAACCTAAAATTTAATTTCAAACATCAGCTATTTAAACCTGCCTTGAATCAATCGGATCCATTCCAAAACTTAACAAAATATATTTTAATACATTCATTATCATTTATTCTACGCCTAAGCGTAAGTGTGTAGTGAAGGTTATTTTTACCAACATTCTGTACGAATTTCCCCCTTATCATGCATTTTATCTCTCCCATGAAGATTGCATATCCCACTTATATCTTAATCCTAGTTTAACAAGTAATCATTTAATGTGAAAAACATAAATTACAAAGATTCTAATTATATTACTTTCTGCATAAATTAATTTTTCTTAAAACCAAATATTTTTCCTAGTCACTTTGACACTAAATCCATATTCTGTCTTCGTTTCAAAATTTTATCACTGAGAAAATTACTAACTTTGCATTTGGTACTGACTGAAATTCGACCGAAGACGTCCTAAACGAAAATTAAGCCCTACATATAACTAACTAACTAACTAACTAGATGGCTTACCGAACCCGAAGGTTCATCACCGAATTAACCAAAGCCCTCCACCGGACCCTGTCCTGGGCCAACAAAATCCAGTTTCCTTCAACTCCTATCTCCCATAGATCCCGCCTGAGATTATCCTCCCATCTACGTCAAGGTCTCCCCAGCGGTCTCTTCCCTGCAGGTTTCCCAACCAGTACCCGGTGCACACCTCTTGTCCCATCCATGCGCGCTACATGTCCCGCCCATCTCACTCTTCTCGACTTAATCACCCTCACAATACTGGGGGAGCAGTACAGATTTTTAAGCTCGTCATTGTACAGTTTTCTCCACGCCCCATCGTCTTCCCTCTTAGGCCCAAATATCCTCCTCAACACCCGATTCTCAAACACCTGCAATCTGTGTTCCTCCCTCTGAGTGAGAGACCATGTTTCGCACCCATACAAAACAACAGGCAAGATTATTGTTTTGTATACTTTAATTTTCAGGTTCTTAGAAATCAGACGGGAAGACAAAATATTTTGGACTGAGAAGTAGCAAGCATTTCCGGAATTTAGTCTCCTCCTACCTTCCTCACAAGTATCATTTTGATTTGTTATTGTTGTTCCCAAATATTTGGACTTTGTAACCCTTTCAAAGGATTTATTAGCCACCCTAAGATAATTTTGCTCGCCTGTCTTCTGATGACGAGATACTAACATGTACTTAGTTTTTTCTGAATTTACTTCCAGCCCCACTTGTCTACCAGCCTCTAGTAAAACTTCTGCGTTCCTCTTTATTGTATTTATATCGTCCCCCAATAAATTAACATCATCAGCATATGCCAATAGCTGATGTGTCCCGTTCAATTGCAAACCCTCCTGCCTACCTTGGACCTTCCTGATGGCGTATTCTAGCGCAAAGTTAAAGAGCAAGGGAGACAAAGCATCTCCTTGTTTTAGACCGTTCTTGATGAAGCCCTACATATAATATTTATAAAATAGTTTTAATGTATTTCTTGGTAATACTTGTAAGTAATCACCACCTAAAACTGACTATAATATTCAAAATATATTGTGTATTTTTAAATAAGCATTAAAGTGAATCCGTGGACTACACATAATACTTTAGTGATGTAAGATTTGAGGTTATCACAGCGGTGAGTATGAAGATTTGTCTTCTGGGTTTTTGCGCTGTGTAGTCTGGTGGATGTTAACCAACGTTTCAGAGGTCATACTGCCTCCGTCATCAGGACGATGAAGATTTCTGTCTTCTGGGTTGTTGCGCTGTGTAGTCTGGTCGATGTTTACCAACGTTTCAGAGGTCATACTGCCTGCGTCATCAGGGCAAGACTTCGTATACATTATAACAGCGAAAGGAGCTAGGAGAGGAAAGTGGTTTTATTCTGACACATGTCCAAGTTAGCAAGGATTCCACACCAAGTGTTTTGCCATACATCACAGAGTGAAGAAATATCATTGGATGTGTAGCTGACACATACTTATAATAAAGTATTTTATATATGATAAATATATTTATTTTGTACAGTCTATACACAAACGTTTGAAGTTTATTGGTGTTGTAAAAATTATATAATATTAAAACATTTTGTTGTGTAAAATATTATATTAGCGCTCTTAATCGTAAATACGATTTTACATTATATTTTTTAGCGCTTTTATTAAAATAAATAAATATATTTTAATCAAACACAAACATGACGCATATAAGATACAAATATATGATAAAGTTATAAAACAAATATCCCATCTTCCTAGTAGGAAATTATATTTTTAAATTATTTTTAACGCATTCAGCAATCTACCACTGACATGTGCGTATTCTTTCGTCTTATTATCAAACATTTTTTATGTGCAGTGACTTCATTGTTTATACTTTGCGTTCTGTTTTACTTTCCTGGTGATGAACTTGGTCTTGTTCTTTCGAATACAATCAGCGCGAAAGGAAGCATAGCTCTGAGATTATGAAATCCAATGCATATACATCGTATATCTGCATGCATTAAGAGATGATTAGACGTTGCCAAAGTCATATCTACCGAATTGACTTTGATTTATTCTCTACCGAATGACAGGAAACAGAAAGGCACAACTAATTACGCATTTTATTAGCTACAGTGGTACAGTCCGTGAAAAATATTTCACTCGGTCAATATTCAAACAAGAGGAACTGTGATCCGCTTTGAACATATTTTCGTCATATTTAGCAAAATTCCTTTCGTTTTATGCAAGTTAAAAAGAAATCTGTCTGTAAAAATCTTTAAATGCTTTCACGAAATATGATGCCTCTTTATTTCTCAACACGATTAAGTCTCTTTTAGAAATTATTCGACTCTTATACAAATGATAGGATCATGGATACAAAATTATGTTACGGAATACGAAATTATCTTTCTGTATTTACGATTTTTCTTGAAAGAGTATAAAATAAAGTTAGCAAAATTAGTTATGATTTGTGTAAGTTCTGTAGCTTCGGCGGATATACCTTGAGTTCTTACCACAGGAAGCCTTTTTTGATGCCAGAATGAATTATGTACGACACTGTCCTTAAGAGATGTGTAAAGGTTTAATCATATCAAGCCAAATCTTATATAAATAATCTTTAAGAATTCTGACCGTGCCAAAAAAAAAAATCATCATTATAACATTATAATTAAATAGTTATTAAAATATAACTCCAATATCAGATGAAATGTGCAGTGCAAAACACGTTTAATCTGAAGTGCCTGTTACTTTATTTTCTAATTAATAGTTTGGAACCGAAGGTAGTTTAATATTATTTAGGAATTAAAGAAACACAACACTTTACCATTACAAAGGTTTACTTATTAATGCTGTTTAGGGAAATAATCTTTGTCTACAGCCAGAATCGTATCAAACCCACAAGTAAATATTACAGCGTTGTTAATTTTAAATAATCTGCTACATTCATTAGGCTTTAAAAATTACTGTATTTAAAACTTTGCATACCGTGTAGTGTATTAGAATATAAAAATAAGCTAACAAACAAACTGTTAACACTTATATATGACATTAGTGCCAAAAGCGTTTCGACCTCAAGAGGTCATCATCAGTGGCAAAAGGGGAATTAATTCATATAATGAAAAAATGGTTTTAAGAAACAAATCATGAAGGTGAGTTATTTACAAAACCGTAATAAGTAACAATGACCGCCACGGTGGTCTAGCGGTTAGAACGCTGGCCTTGTAATCCTGGGGTCTCGGGTTCGATTCCCGGCGGTGCCCGAATTTATAACTTGTGTTGGGCAAGGCCGTGGTCTAGGCAACACGGAGTTTTCCTCCGTGGCATCCCAACAATTACTCCATTCACACACAGAAGAAGGCAATGGCAAACCACTGCTGGATCATCTGCCAAGAACGTATATGAAAAGGTCCCAGTCCGAGAAAAGGATCGAAGGATCCAAAGGCTTTTGGCACTAATGTCTTATAAGTGTTAACAGTTTGGTTGTTTACTTATTTTTATATTACTGTACATGTTATATAAAACTAATATTTTTATTTAATTGTATGACCTTGTAGGAACGCCTATGCGCAGTACAATTTCATCATGATAACGTATCTCAAAGTTTCGTATTTGTGGTACTACAAGAACCATACCAATACTCATTTAAAGTCTGACATCAGAAGAAGCTTTAGGTTATAAAGCTGTTCTGTTAAGTTAGTGTTTGAACAGCGTAATTTAACATTTACTTTTGGTTCCTGCCTGGAAGATAGCGTAAGTTTTTACTGAGACTTTACGAAGTTTATATTTATACTTGGAAGATAGCTGTCTTCTGGGTTGTAGCGCCATGTAGTCTGGTACCAGAAATTTATAATTAGCGGGCCAAGAAATGACCTGTTATAGAATGTAATTTTATCGCCACTTTTTCAGAAATTTTCAGTAAGTTTTATCCAGTTTACAGGTCTGAAAACGTTTTCTTAAAGTTCATTTTAATAATCCAGTGTTCAACTGTACACTACGTTAATTTTCTAAGACGTAGCATTAGAAAATTGGATTAATATATGTTGTTCTTGTGAGCGAATCATGTGTATTTTAATTTATTAAAAAGGGTACTTATAAAATGTACACTTCTGAAGATTCACATCGTATACTTTGCACATTTTCTGCGACAGTAATGTAACTTTATTTCTCCCTAGTATAACTTCATATATTTATATACGCGTGTTAAACATACATAAGATTTGGTTTAAATCAAATTCCCAAAACCATCTTAGAAAAGTAGAATAAATATTGTGATAAATAACAAGATTTTCGGGATTTGTGGCGATGTAAGTTTCGATATTGCAAGTAATTTGTTAAAAATCGCTGCTCTGTATGCTGTCTGTTCTATTAGGTTAACAAATTGAACAAGGGAACTTCAATTTTCTCGACCACTGTAAGTTTTCTAAGTACTACCTGAAAATTAAACTTCTCTTGTATCCGTCACAGAATTTCATGTTTCAAGGCCACATAAGGACTTCACTCCCCTTACTTTGCGGCTTTGATACGCTGCGAGTTCTAAACTATATTCACTCGTTTGATCTGCGCTGTTCAAGTTGTGAAGTTATACCATTTCCTTGTGACATTGATACACAATTTGTTTTTGTCTTGTAATAAAATTAACAAAATTACTTACTTGGCTTAATTAATGAATATAACACTATTTAATGAAGTGCAAATTTAAATATTATCTTACGTCAAGGTTATAATAAGTCTTTTGTTTTTGTCTTGTAATAAAATTAACATAATTATTTTATTTGGCTTAATTAATTAATATAACACTATTTAATGAAGTGCAAATTTAAATATTACCTTAGGTCAAGTTTATAATAAGTCTGTGACCTTGTACAGAACTTCGCGCATTTAATTGGCCTGTATTTATAGCGTTACTATGGCAACGGTTATAATATTATAAACCCTAGTGTCCCTTATCAGAAAAGGATTAACGAATTGGTATCGATAACAGACATCATGAATATTATCATACACTGTCTAAAATTCCTTACCATCAAATCATTACCCAAAAAACGAAGCTAACAATCAACATTGATTTTATATATAACGCTGAAATGGCATATTAAAACCTGATCTTATACTTTACAGCTGGACGTCATACCTGACAAAGAAATTGAAGAGCCAATATGCTGGATATCATAATTGGATCGATTTTAGTTGCAATTTTGCTGGCTATTTGTACGTTTTTGATCTTAGTTCCGTACAATTTTAATACAATTATCATTTCCACTGAACCAAAAGGGACTACAAAAATCCCAGGACCAAAAGGATTGCCATATTTCGGAAATATCCTCACCTTCAATGTTCCTCGCGAAAGTAAGTTTAATAAATTCCAAGGAATTTTTATGTCTCACAGACCGATAAATTTCAGCTTATGCAGTAGAACGTAAATGCAATGCATTAACTTTATTATACGTTCTTCGCTCAAAGTGTATAGGGAGAACACGTTAAGTTTTGGTCATGTATGTCTGTCCGTCAGTCCAGTCGATTAAACTCGAGAACTACTGCATGGATTTGGATGAAATTTAATCTGGAAGTTGTGATATTCTGCACGACGTCTAAAATTTATCATGAAATCCTACGACCGGTGATAAAATAACGGAAGACGAAAATCGTGCGGTAGATATTGATGTGTTGCGATCTGGTGACCAAAGTTGTAACTATCGAAAAGGGCGGATTTAATACCTTTCAATGCATGTTGCAAAGAACGTATAATGATATTACGTGAATTCCGATACGGAATATAATTTCTAAGCTTCATATTTAAGTACAACTGAATTTACATTAGTGGAATATTAGCATAAAGTTTTACAGTTCAATCAACTCCTATAAATAATACAAGTAAGTACAGGTAATATTTTGTATAAAGATGGTTACCAACATGACGTATTGTTATAAGTGGTTTTAGTACATTTTAAATTATTATAAATATGTTGATAAAGTAATTATCAACATTTTATTACAGTATAATTATAAGAAGGCCAAAACTTTCACATGACAACACAATAATTTATTAATAAAACAATTTTTATAACTTTTAAATTTGAAACCACTCAGTTTAATGTCTGATTTTTATATGATAATTTAACATATTCAGAACTCTCTATTAGAAATACATTGATAAGATTTTAACCATCTTTATACATACTACATAAAAGCCTGCTTCGGATCACGTATGAACAGAACCTGAAGATGTTATAATTTGATCGAAACAGCAAAGATTGTAATGAACTTCTATTGTTTTGTTTTATTTTGTGATACGGTGATAATTCATGCATTAACTGCACTTTATTTTAAAATTTTACAGCAGTGTGCACTAATATTATATTTGTAGTAGTGAAATTAAATTTTGTTTGGAAATTCGGATAGCTGATTCAGACATCAAAATATTCCACGCTGCAATCAGTAATGAATTTACTAAAACTTTTACTTTTGTTTAGCATATTAAATACAATAATGGTACAGTTTTGAAGAAATAATATTAATTTAGTCACAACGAGTGTTACGTAACATGATTTGTTATATTTATTTGTGTGAGAAATAGTTACTAACAAGAAAATTGCTGTCTTCTGGGTTATTGCGCCATGTAGTCTGGTAGATTTTCAGCAACGTTTCACAGGTCATACTGTGTCCATCATCAGGGCATCGAATTCGTCGCCCTGACGACGGAGGCAGTATAACCTCTGAAACGTTGGTGAAAATCTACCATACTACACGGCGCAACAAGCCAGAAGACAGAAATCTTCATACTCACCGCTGTGAGAACCTCAAATCCTACAGTTACTAACACCTTCAACAGTTTATCCAAAATCAGTTTGTTCATTACGTTTTGTGGACTTTTTTTTTTAGAGAAGTTTAAGTTTAAGATTAATTCCTGTGCTATAAGTCAAAGTAACCTAACATTTTAGTATTTAAAGTGAGATTGCATATGACTGTGAACTTGGTATTCATTTTCTGCAATATTAATAAGATTCTTCTCTTCTTAATCATGTGTTATTATATCACAAACGAGCGAAATAAATCCGTAAAGTACAGCAACTTATCTGTTCCTGATAAAAGTTTATCAGAACTAGAAGAATGTCTTTTTTTGTGTGTGAATGCTATCATTATATCATAAATAATTTTGTTGTACTCTTACCAGTTTTTGAAAAAAAAATTAATAACATTTGATTTTAGGTACATGCAAAAAAAGATAAATGCGTTCATTTTATAGTCCATTATGTACTTAGTGTGAAAAATGCCTATAAATGTTATTTAGGGTTTTAAGAACGTAGTTACTTTTTTGTTTTATTATCAGGAAGCTGTAATTGACATAAACTCAATTTCACCCACATTCTGACATATACACTTTGCTGTCTTCTTTAATTCTTTAATAGCTAGTGGTAACTATATGTACCACATGATCTAATATTACGTAATACTGCATTTTGTCCACGCAGTTAATCTGTATGTTTTATACGATTCTCAGTAAAAACTACAGCTATTCTTTCCTTAAACACCGTCAATTAGATGATCTTTGTAATGGTGATGTGTTGTGTTTCCTTTGCGGTACGGACTGAATTTAAAAATTATTTAGATGAACTTCTAATTCAAAGGGTTACGTTCCCTCTAAGACGCCTTAAATCAGAAATGAATATTTCTTCGTAATAAACAATATTACAGTAAGTTTTAATTTTGATGTGTTATTTGTTTTCGTATATATTTCAGAGTTAATTAAAACATTCATGGATATGCATAGAGAGTATGGGGACACGTTTTGCTTTTGGGTGATAGGATTTATGTACGTGTTCATAAACGACCCTGATGACATTGAGGTAAGTATATGTAATTAACAACGTATGTATTTTAGAACCTTAAAATTACACTTTTAAAAATGTTCAAAATAAGGTCAGTGTTTTTAATCTAAAATATATTACTAAGTCTAATGACTTATTTTAGACATATTTGGATTTCGTAATAGGCGTAGAGGGAAGATTGGGAGTCTTAGAGGCCGGAAGAAATGTTTAATGCCAGTTTAACGTCTAAAGGTTGCTGCAATTACGCTTCAGAATTCTCGTAATTCAAAAGCACAATATTTACCTGCTCACACATCTGTAAAGATATACATGAGAAATATTACTACTGAAGATAAATACAGAGTGCCCCAAAAAGATATATATTCACATATATATTTATTTATTTCCGTCAGTACACAAACTTAGTTGTTAAAATTGGTGTTATTAAAGCTAAAACTTTAAAATTTGGCGCTTATCATCGCTATTACGATGTTACAATTTTAGCGCTCATTATTTTATTTCACAACATGTTTCAATGCAACCGCATCATCTTCAGGCTATTTTCGTCTTTAAAACTAATGTATATTTATTAATGCAACTATCGTTGATTTGTTTGTTTTGTAGTTTTCATTTTTTGTAGATTGTTTCTTTTTGTTGTTCGTCTTGTTTTGTATTTTTTAGATAAGTCGTTCTGTAGTCAGAGTTGTGATTTGTGGTGTGTAATGTGTTATGTAATCTTCACCCGACCACAGACGCAAACACACCATAATCACAACTCTGACTACAGAACGACTTATCTAAAAAATACAAAACAAGACGAACAACAAAAAGAAACAATCTACAAAAAATGAAAACTACAAAACAAACAAATCAACGATAGTTGCATAATAAATATACATTAGTTTTAAAGACGAAAATAGCCTGAAGATGATGCGGTTGCATTGAAACATGTTGTGAAATAAAATAATGAGCGCTAAAATTGTAACATCGTAATAGCGATGATAAGCGCCAAATTTTAAAGTTTTAGCTTTAATAACACCAATTTTAACAACTAAGTTTGTGTACTGACGGAAATAAATAAATATATTACTGAATTAAGCACAAACATGACGCATTTAAACTACAAATATATATTCACATTTAATAGATGAATTAAAGACGTCTTAATAAACTATATAATTGCATACGTCAGCATTGGCACTTAGTGAATTAGCGAATCTAATGTAGATTTTCAAAATGGCAACCTTTAATTTTGTGTGACAGCAATAAACAAGTGACTGATAAGCGGCCTCCATATATTCTGCTCTGTATACATTTTTTTGGGATACTCTGTAGATTATTATTGATGTTTTTATTGTTATTTATCTACACTTGGGTTATGATTTTGTGTGTGTATGTTTGCGTTGACTGAGTTATCGGCGGTGACTCTAAATGACAAAGTCCTATTTATATAAGTGCTCATAACGTCAGACAGCTTTGAAGATACGCTCTAACTTTGTACAGGAGTTACTGTTGGCATTTCTCCTTATTGTTTTGTTTTTAAAGATATGATAAAGAAGTACCATAAAGTGGAAGGAATTATATAAATATACGAAAAAAAAACAGAGAAAGAAAGGAAATATAGGCATAAATGAAAAAGATACAAAATAAGTTACTCTCCGTTGATTTTAAACGGGGATTTTGTACTTTGTGAATGGAATGGTTGAATATATGTGGAAGAAGATATCATTAATTTACTAAACTTACAGGATATTTAACAAGAGAAAAATGAAGAAATATAGTTTTTGAGGTTGTTACAGTAAAGACAGAACAAAAGCACAAGAGACTTGTATCTGGTATAAAATTTCAACCACATATTCGAATAGGCTTATTAACGTGTTTCTCCTCAGTCAATCCAGGCAAATATCCTTGTAATAGATGCAAATAAGTCTCTAACAACATCCTTCTAAATCTCTCTTCAGTTTAAAACTTGTCTATAGATTCTCAGCTCAGACGCCATCTGTCTTAACAGCAGTTTTTATTTTCCTCAAGATATCTCTGAATTTATTTATATTTCTTTTTCATGTTTTAGTATAATTTTCAGTTGATTAAATGTTGTTAAATTACCAAAGAGAAGAATATTTAAGACATTTTAGAAGGCTGCATTTGATGGAGCTCGGTGCGAATCAACGCGACTCATTTGTTTTCAGGTCATATTGAACAATCGATCTCACATAACGAAATCGCTAGATTATAGACTGCTGGAGCCATGGCTCAGCACTGGCCTGCTAACTAGCACAGGTAAGTAGCATATTTAATGGTTATCAGTCATAACATATGTGAATCATGGGGAAAGATATTGTGGTGCCATCTGTTAAGTGTAGACAACACTAGGTTCTCCACGTAAACACAGAAAGCACATACAGGTAAATAGGTTGGTATTCTGTATTATAATATGCTTGTTTTTGGGAGACACTGTACGTTTTCTATGTTACGGTTAATTCAGAATTGAAATTTGATAAATAAACAGAAGTGAATGATACATATATTTCCATAATTTTAATTTTTTGTACAAGATTGTGATAAAAGTTAACAAATTTATTTTCCGCGCCATTTGAGGAGCACTTCTGTTAGTGTTAATAACGATTTAGAAACCTGTGATGTATAGAAGGCCATGGTGGGGTGTTAAACCACAGATGAGAATATTGTGTACCAGTATTGGTTTAGCCTAAAATTGGTTTTCAGTTTCAATTCTGTCACGTTAGATTTTATGGATCATAAGTAATATCCGAATGGAAAATGTTTCGTATAAAATGTAATTTTATAATTTATATTACTTTCGCGTAATTTTGTTTTATTATTACACAAAAGGAGCGTGAGGATTGGGGAAAAGTAGCAATATTGGCCGATTAACTTCAAGGTAACAGACAATGAGGAAGACACAGATATATATATATATAAAGGACACTATTAAAATGAATCTAAGAAAAACGATATTTGAATTTGGGGCTGTAATTACGTGGTTAAAGGTAGGGTATATTGGTAACCTTTTCTGAACGTTTTAATTGACCAAATGGCTTTAAAATTTGAAGAAAAAAAATGCTCTATAAAATTAGGTTTAGATTTAAGCATGAATTTGTATTTTTTTTTTCATGATTCACCTCGCTCCGACTTCAGCAAAGTTAATAACTGTATTTTGTTATTGTTGTAAGGCGAGAAGTGGCACACCAGGCGCAAGATCCTTACCCCAGCGTTTCATTTTAAGATACTGGAGGAATATGTCCAAGTGTTCAATGTTAACAGTGAATTTCTGGTCAAGAACCTTGAGGCTCACATCAAAGAACCTTTCACCACCATAAACGAACACATTAATAAGTGCACACTGGACATAATCTGTGGTAAATATCAAATTTTAAACTTGTACCGTGCCATGATGCAACGAAGGCGTCTTCCATTCTCACAGGAATGATCGCCCTAAATTTTTTTTGTGTACATTTCTGTGGTACCGCCACGGTGGTCTAGCGGTCAGAACGCTGGCCTTGTAATCCTGGGGTCTCGGGATCGATTCCCGGAGGTGCCCGAATTTATAACTTGTGTTGGGCAAGGCCGTGGTCTAGGCAACACGGAGTTTTCCTCCGTGGCATCCCAACAATTACTCAATTCACACACAGAAGAAGGCAATGGCAAACCACTTCTGGATCATCTGCCAAGAACGTATATGAACAGGTCCCAGTCCGAGAAAAGGATGGAAGGATCCTGTTCATATGGACCTGTCGTCAGACAGAACACTAAATAAATAAATAAACAAATAGAAACACGTCCCAGAACGCATTTGTTCATAGCATACTGGACTCATCAGCTTCGGGTCACGAAATTAAAACCTACCAAAGTTGATCATTTGTTTCTACTCCTGCAGCTGTTATGATATTATGTTACATCATACAAACAATTACTCTATCAAAAGTTTTACATTTTCCGAAAAACTATAACCAATTAGTTTCTCCATAATATCAGAGTGTAATTTGAGTAGTTATTAAGTTGTCATTATTTATTTTATTGTAGTTATTAAGCAGTGGCTCGATAAATTTATTGTTGTCATTTCTGTGTTGACAGAAGCTGCTATGGGTATACCCATGCATGATAACAAATACGATCATTCTGAATATACTAAAGCTGTAAAACGGTAAGAAAAATAATTTGTTAAAATACAGTAATTAAGTATTTATTAAATTTAAGTTAATGTAGATATTTTATCCGTTAAATTTTTATGGTTAATATAATATCTGTTTATGAGAATTTTATAAGAGCTCTAAGGAACTTCATAATTTACATCAGTAACCTGGAGATGATTAATAGCAAAATAAATTGACATTTAGCTCGGAGACCGGATGCAACAAATTCTTATTGGCTACGGCAAGTTCTTGTATGTAAGATGACATTAGGTTGAATCTTTTTGAATAGGACATGCGCATTGCGTATTTGTAAAAAAATCTCTGAATCTTCGTGTGACGTCACAGTTTTAAGACAGTGATAACGAGAAATTGACCTCAAGAAGTGAACTTCTTCAATAAAAGTTTTACATGCTTCGCCAATTAAACTAGATTTCAAAACATAACAACGTTAACGCAACTCACACTTTGGATTCAACTGCGCAGAACTGGAAACATGAGTCATGTTTTAAGCGTGACTTGGCCATGACTTCCGCTGTAACATTAACGAGCTGTTTGTAAGGGTTTGAGCGATCTATAAAATGTATGTTTTTTTTCTTAGAAATGTTCTTAAATGACACATAATGCATATTAAACTGCGCGTTTCTTCAAATATGAAGAATCTATCTTGTGAAGTTAATAATTGCGTAATTAGTTAAGAAATTCCCCCTTGTCGTGGGATAATTATGTTTTTCACAAGAGTCAGACAAATTTCCCCGTTGAGAAACAAATCAATACAACCATATAGTCTTACTCTGTTTAAGATCTACTTTAATATTATCCTACCATCTGTATCTGAGTCTCCCAAGTGGGTTCGTATGTTTATGTTCACTAACTAAAATTTGGTATTAATTTCTTATCTCATCCTGTTTCATTTGATAACATTAATATTTAAGAGTACATGTTATATAGTCCCTCATTATAAATTTATTCTAGCCTCTTGATAATGTCTATTACGTCCAGATATGGACTCAGTACCCAACTCTGAAGTACCTTTATTTTATTATCTGTCCTAAACCAATAGATAAAATGAGAGACATGTACATTTTAATATGCAGTGTGATATAAAACTCACATAACCCATTCTTGACGCATGTTTTATGTGTAAAGAAATAAATTATATTTAAATAAGATAACAAAAAATGTTATATAAGTATTGGAAATGTCCACCACATTCAGAGATGCACGAATTCTTTTGTCACAGAGAAGGTTCATAAGTCGAGATATTATCGATTTGTTTGGCGGAGGTGAATCGAGAAATATATCTCGAAACTCATTCTGGCAAGTAAAGTAAGAACGAGAAGCCACATAGTAATCGATAATGAACACTCGTTGCAGTTGTGAAAAAGACATATTTGTACTTCGACTATCGAAAGACAGCTGACGTACTGGCGCGAGCAGGTTATAACATGACGTGCGTGGGTTCTTGTGAAGTCACAGCGATATTTTGTGTTTATTAATTCAACTTTATTATACTAAATATTTTAATATGGGTTGTGTGACTTTTCTATCATTCTGCGTAATCGATACTTTCAAGTTAATAGTACCCATAATTCCTTACGTTATGATGTCACTTTGTTTTGTAGGTTACTCAATAAATATAACAGCAAATTCCAAGCGTCTTCATATATTTCAGGCTGACAAAGATTCTCGTCCACAGACAATTATCCCCTTGGCTTTATAGGCAGTTCATCTATAACTTGACTCCAATAGGACGAGAGGATGCCAGACTCCTACAGATACTTCACGGCTTCACTAATCGGGTTAGTACTAGCCACTAAGAAAACATCTACGTTACATGCTCCAACAGAATACGAAAGTGAGGTTACATCACGAGTTATAACATGTCCTCAGAGCGTATCAACTCTGTCGCGTTAATCACACTTTCAGTTTTGACTATTGTTATGGAAGGGGATTCCCGCATGGGATTCCCCACCCAGCAACTTCCACGCGAAAAACGCAAGATGTTTAATATTTAATTAATGTTATTGTTGCCTAGCTTAATAAAGATCGGACAAATGTTTGTTAAAATCTTATCAATTTTTTGAGAATCCTTCCAATCGAACGCTAGCTCCACAGTCTGAGAGTGAGAGAGATATTTTTGACGGGCTCTATGCAGGATTAACAAAGCACCTAAATTAAATAAGAATAAATTGGGATTCACCACTCATGACACGTCAGAAATTCGTATTTAATATTGCATATCTCCTTCTATTTTACGTGCTAAATATAAACACAATATATTTGGCTTTAAAAATAATGCAATGTTTAAAATACACCCCAAAAAATCACTTACTACGTTACAAAATTTAAATCAGAAATAGATCAGCCACCTCCCGGGCTCCTGGTGAAACTCCAGTAGAGATCACACTCGTTGCTAGGCCGCTGCTCAATTAATATGCGCAAATACTTTGCAGGTGCCGACAGGTCACAGAATCTAACCTCTGAAGTGATTTTTATGTTCTGAATAAGTTTGTATGTTTCGGTGATGAAACAATGTTTATTATACAGATGATCAAAGAGAGGAGAGAAGAATACAGAGCGAATTTGAATTCTGAAGAAAATTTCAACACAAGTAAGTAATCCTACAGCTTATTTTGAACCTAAAGACCGTATTTCATTAGAGTTGAATAAACATTTTTTCTGGCATTTCTCTACTGTATGATAATTATAATTCATGTATTATAAAGTAAAAGTATTTCTTTTTAACGTAAAATTCCCTGTAACAAACGTATGGCCTAGCTTTCCTTTCTTAGTTATTTATATACGGAATAATAAATAACTTGTAACTACCTTCACAGAGAAGTTATTCCGTATGTAAATGCCAGAATATTATTATTATTGAGTGTTCTGTCTGACGACAGGTCCACATGAACAGGATCCTTCCATCCTTTTCTCGGACTTGGACCTGTTCATATACGTTCTTGGCAGATGATCCAGAAGTGGTTTGCCATTGCCTTCTTCTGTGTGTGAATGGAGTAATTGTTGGGTTGCCACGGAGGAAAACTCCGTGTTGCCTAGACCACGGCCTTGCCCAACACAAGTTATAAATTCGGGCACCGCCGGGAATCGAACCCGAGACCCCAGGATTACAAGGCCAGCGTTCTAACCGCTAGAACACCGTGGCGGTTAATGCCAGATTATTGGAATTTAAATCGAAATTTGCGAGTAATTACCACTGTTCTTTAAATAATTAAGTGACCTTCGTATTTATTATCATAAAAGTCCCTAAATTGCCTTAAGTTTACTGGGGTAATTTAGGTTTTACTTTGACCTACAAATGTAGCTTGATAAATGGTGTGTATTGGAAAAATTAAAATTCTATATACGGAATTAAACTTCTATTACACCAAAAATATGATTCATTTTATCTTGCCATATCTTTGTCCAGTTATCTTTGCTGCATTCAGTGATAAACATGACCTCTCTCATCAGAGATCTTTCATGGTTCTCGTGATTAATTACAAACTTCTCCCAACTAAGGACCGCTTTTAAAACCACCGTATTTCATGTCAGTAGCGGAGAATGTCTGTCAAAAGTGTTAGTCACATCCCGAGGCATTTTTACAATTGATTATATACATTTTTATTGCCGCTGGTATGTCATGACCCTTTTTGAATTTTACCCTGACATTTTCTTTACAACTGAGGAAAAGCACGGAAAACCTAAGTCAGAGAAACCGACTAGTTAGACCACTCGTTGCGCTGACTTCACCGTCGCCTGCTGATTCGATTGCCCGTGTGTGTTCATTGTCAGGTGTTGGTCGGCAAAAGTGCCTTCGAAGTTGCCAATCTAAGGGATTCCCCTCATCAGTTAAATTTGAGTCGAAACTCTCAGTCAGGAGTTGGCTTACAACAGGCAGGTTAACAGGTCCTGTTAAAAGCTGTTTGGAGCTAGTTAACGATGTGTTTTGTCAGATAGGTTCTGCTGTGTTCCAACGTATGTACTAACACTGAACCACGGAAATAAGATTTCTTATTTTTCGTTTTTCGAAGTGTTATTCTAGGTAACACGGCTAATATGAACGCCCAGTTCTTGGTCCACGTGCGAAATTTTGTGATTAAAGTGTCTTTGGGGAGTTTTCTTAAATTACTTTGGTTTTACCCTACCGATTGTTTCATTAATGCTCTGTAATCATTAAACAGCCACGGTGGTCTAGCGGTTAGAACGCCGGCCTTGTACTCCTGGGGTCTCGGGTTCGATTCCCGGCGGTGCCCGAATTTATAACTTGTGTTAGGCAAGGCCGTGGTCTAGGCAACACTGAGTTTTCCTCCGTGGCATCCCAACAATTACTCCATTCACACACAGAAGAAGGCAATGGCAAACCACTTCTGGATCATCTGCCAAGAACGTATATGAACAGGTCCCAGTCCGAGAAAAGGATGGAAGGATCCTGTTCATATGGACCTGTCGTCAGACAGAACACTAAATAATAATAATAGTAACTCATTATTAGATCCGGTACAGTCTATTACAGGGCATAGTATGAAGTTAAATAAATTTATTACATTCGCAGAGAAAAAGAGACGTTTGGCGTTTTTGGATCTCCTGATCGAAATATCGGAAAAGGAAGGTTTGCTCACAGATGCGGATATAAGGGAAGAAGTGGACACCTTCATGTTTGAGGTAAGAAAACTCTTTGTTTTCGTAGCATAAGTACATAAATAAGAAGATCTAATGCCCTGAACACCAGGTTCTGTGCAAATCACAGCTTGTGTTTACCACCACAATGTAAATTTCGTATCAAACACTTGTTCATAGACTGACGTTATTTCATGAATTTTCTTCTTAAAGGACATTACTTTATTTTAAAAAAAATAGTTAGTGCATAAATAGCGTAACCTTATCGGTGCTTTTGAAACTATTTTTACCTTTGAAATTGAGCCAGTGACGTTTTAGTTGGGATTACCTGCGTTGCTTGGAAGCCCGTCTAAAAGTCACTACCGCGGGGAGAGATGCAAAATGTCAATTATTGTTTTCCGATATTCATCAAAATTCAATGTGCAGACACATTTTAGTAAAACTCACCAATATAAAATTGTATGAAAATGGCGGGTTTT